CATTGATTATTATAGTGCAATTGTTTCCACAGAAAGTAATGTGGAAGTAGAAGCACGCTTGGCTCTTCAATATCTTTGTATATTTCTTGCCTAATATTGTTAAAACTTTAATTTCCGATGATATTTTAAAGAAAAGATAATCAATGTATAAACCGTACTCTTAAGATTAGTGCCTTGATTGCACAATCTAATCTACAGGGGATTTTGATAGTATTATCTGAAATAAAATAATTTATTTCATTCTATAAGATTTTGAATAATCATGGTAAAATTTCGAAAAATTAATCGAAACATGTCGTATTATTTGGATGTAAATATTTTCCAATGTTTTTCACTATTTCTGGTTAAGTTGGCTGTTAGTGTAATACGAAATTTTTGCTAGGATTTAACATTTAACGATAGAAAAGCAAGGAACACCAGCAATGCCTTGAGTGCTTCATGTTATCGTTATCGCTTTTCGTCATTTTTCTGGAATCTGATTTCAAAATATCAACTCATATTTTTATAACTCATAATTAATTAATTGACTCATAATTAATTTATAATTGATTCTAATGATTAATAATTAATAAACAAATAGTATATAGCAGCTAATTTTAGCTAATAATTGGTAAATAATTTATAATTGATTTTTACGATTTGAAAATAAATAATTAATTTCAAAAAATTATGATAGAGAATAATATTTGCAATATTGCTAGAATTTCAGCAATTTGATTTTCCTGCGACAAACAATTGTAGCAAATTTAGTTTTAACGATTAGAATTATTCGAATTTTTCTATCCATCAGTCATTCTGGATTTTTTTCTTTGTTTATGCAAAATGAGGCTGAAACATAAAATATAGATTTTTATTTTGAATTTTGAATTTAGAGTACCGAAATGTTGCACCATGCAGTATTTCCAGGAAATCGAGTAGTTGTTGTCTATATTATTTCATATTTTTATTCATTTCAATGCATCGTGATTTGGCCCTGTTCTTAGCAAAAAAAAACATTAAGAAAATATAGGTAGTATGCGAGAGGGGGAGACGTTTTTGGCTCTATTTCCAAGTGACACCATTACTATCTCATTCCACTGATAGCCAGCTGAGCGAAATCATTCAAGAATAATAGGCGCTATCATCATATCCCTTGGGGATAGAATGGCTCAATAGGTTATTGCTCAATTGGGAGCGCCGAAGCTGAGGCTCGATTACTCGCAAGAGTATACCAGTACAAAAATCCGGATGATGCTGGCGACTCACCTGCATTTCTATCGCCAAGGGTCTCCCTGGCCTATTGTTCAATTGCGATAAGCCAGTGGAGCAAGTTTAACCAGTATTGGTGAGGTCTCTTTAAAAAAAAAACCATCTTATACCAGTAAAAATTCTTCGAAAATTTCAATTTTTCTTCAAAAATCTCGATTCAAATAAATACGATTATTCAATTGAGCCATTAAAATATTTTAGAACATAAAATGAACTGGAAGTGAAATAGAAGATGATAATCGACGAATGGATGAAAAAATGAGCTTTATAAAGGTGCTAAGCAATCTTGCATTACAGTATCGAAAATGTTAGTATTCGTTGTACTATGTGCGTTTGCATTAAGAGAGATATTAATGGTTGAGAGTAATCAGCTTTTTAAACTTCTTCGTTCAAATTAAATGGAGATTTTACAAAAGAAATAGAAAACAAACAATTCCATCAATTGCTTTCATACATATTTCACTGCAAATTGCAATTATTCTTAAATTTATAAGCTAAAAATCTATCATTTAACAAAATTTTTTGCCTTTTCTTTTTGATTTAATTAACCAATTTAATTTTTTTCCTTTTTTTGAAACTGACATTCTTTTTTCACAACTTCTTTATTTAATTTATTATTGAATTTTCATTTTTTTTGCAACTTCTAGAGAAATTTTTCGAATTTTTAGAAGTTGATGAATATCAATAAACTTGGCAAGGAGGCTTCAGTTTTGCAGCAGAATAATTCTTTGAAATTCATCAAACTACGGCATTATGCAAATAATGATCAGCAATAAACCATTTAGCGAAAATTATGATAAAAACGATAAGGCATATTTGATAATAAAAGATTTTATAAAGGACGAAAAAGCAAATTTTACTGACTTAAAATTTTTCGCAATCGCTATTTAATATTATGACTAAAGCTTCAAATCAGACTGTTAAAATTATTGCTAGCAATATTTGTTCATATTACTGCGAGCTTAAATTTTAAATTCTATTTAAATATATACTGTATTCCGATTCTTATAAAATTGATAAGTCTATCTAATGGTTAATTTTAGCGGAATCTTTCATCATTCTCTAACATTCATCAAATCATTTTTTAATGCAAAACTGTATACAAATTGTATATGCAATATAGAAATTTTTTTATCATTTTTTAACATCAAAAAAACGAGAAACGCTAAAAAAAATGAAATTTCATCGCTTAAGGAAATTCACCCCTATTAAAATTGAATGAATAAATTGATAAAAGTTTTAACTTTTTAATGACCAGATTTGGTCTTAATCGAAAATACTGATTACGCTCACCACAAAAAATTCTTATTAATAAAATTTAGATTTTCGCTTAATGAAAAATTTTCATTTGAAATTTTCATTTTTGTAATTCATTTTTTGTAATATTTGTAATATTTGTAATTTTCTGTTCGGCGCATTTAATAAACGAAGCAAAATAACAGGCATTTTTTTAAATGAAAAGCAGGCAGGATCAGCGAAGCGATTTTCATTTCAATTTGAATATTATTAAAGTATTCTTATGAGTATTCTTATAAGTATTCTCATGAAATCCTTCAAACAATTGGATTAGCTAGAACAACGATTTGATTTATCCATTTCTATAACTGTTTAAGTATTTAAAACAATTTAAGCCATCAGCAATATTAATCAGCTTTATTGTCGGGATATAATAGCCGTGGATAATCGATCACGTTATGTGTTGTGAGGTGATGGCAGTGGCCCTCAATTTTGTCATTAAAAAATCTCGATGGTGCTGTCAACCCACCCTATAGTGCCCATGATTCCTTAGCAGAAATTTCTAGCAATATTAACAGCCACTGCAATGAGTTTAACCAGAAGATGAGGTTTTATCACCTATTTTTTATTTATTTATTATTTTGCTTGCTTTATAAGCATATACATAGAAATGTCAGCAAAGTGATAAAAAAAAATCGCCAAGATGATAGAAAATTTGTGGAATTTTATTTTCTACTAAAATATTAAAAAAAAAATATCGAATTTTGCTATTTTATTCAGGTGTAGCACGGAAATCTATTACATTAAAATCTGTTATATATTAAATGACGAAAAACAATTTGAGAAACTAAACTAAACAGTTGGTATAATATTTGAATACATCAATCAAATAGCTATTAGGAGCCTACATATAGCGAAACAAAGAAATAGACCGCCATCAGCAAAAGGTGCATCTTCTATCCTATAAATTTTTTTCTCCAAATACCATTTCCTTACAGTAATTCCAGATGAAGTATTAATTTGCTTCATAACCTCGGTTGCACTTAAATCATCATTAACAGGAATAATCTGTATAAAATGATAATGCGTATATGTGTATAAAATAATCTGTAAGAAATTTCAATCGGTAATTAATAATGAAAGATAAAGTAAAAGTTGTAAATTCCTGTCAATCAAAAAAAAAATTTCCCAAAAATTTGATTAAATTCAGTAAAAAAAGCACATAATTATTATCTTTTGTTAGAATCTGAGCCCTTTAAATTACTCTTTATTCTTTCATCTCAATCGAAAAATGCTGTCTATAATGGGAATTGTAATGGAAGTTCGAAATAAGTAGAAATATCGAGCTGATTGAAATAACAGTAGTAGTCGCTGCATCTGAAACAATGAGAAATTTATTAACAAGGAGGTTGATTTTCTTTAGACTTCCCTAAATTTTTTTCATCTATTCGTTTTCTGCGTTAGCAAATGAACAGCCAAAGTGAAAAAACTTTATGGGCTCGTTTAGCGAAAAAACGATCAACGTTCATAAAATTTTGCTATTATAGAGGAGTGCCAATTGCTTTGATAAATCAGGTTAGAAAACCAATTAACTAATGAAAATTAATAATCGAGCGATAAAGAAAGATCAACAGGCTCTAACGAGAATTATAATCAAACGAGAATTCCCACTTCTGCTGACCACTTCTGTCAGTTCAAAAGGTCCAAAAGATTGTTCATTGCATAATTGAAATGTGATTTGCTTAAGAAAAAGAAAAAGTTAATTACTATACCCCATAAAATTTTCAAGGGATAAAATTGATGATGTATGTAATTTTTTTGCCATAAAGATCTGAGATATTGCATCGTCGAGCCAACATAGGTTCGATTTCTATCCCTCGAACAGTCGTTAAATTAAATATGATGGCATTGCTGCGGATCTACCTTTATTTCTATATTCAGGACTAAAGAGCCTCATTTAATAGCCAAAGAAGAGAGGTGTACGTCGTTGAAGAAAGGTTAGAGAAGACCAGTAAGATAAAATTTATGGTTGCATTGCATTATTTTTATTAGAATTTACTTTCGTTTTCAACAACAATGATTTAAAGCAAATTTTGAAATATTTTTATGAACAAGCGGCATATAACAAATAAATATAAAAATATTTTATAAATATGAAAATATTTTAAAAAACGTTTAAATTCTATGGAATGTCAAATAATATCATCGTAAAATAATAAAAAAGGCATAACAATTGTTTCTAAAAAATTTTATGAAACTTTGCGAAATTCATAAAATTACGAAAGTTTTTTGATCAAATGAATTTTAAAAAATAAAGTAAGGGCGATTTTGCGAAAAATATGCGAAACCAAAAGTATATAATTTCCTTAATCGCTAAGTTCCGAACCGATGATTAAATTTTCACAGTCTGCAGCGAGTTTTCGGTTTACAAAAAATCCTTGAAAAAAGATTTAGAATTTTCTGAAAAGATCGATAAATTATACAATAACAAGTTATAAAAGAGTTAGAAAAGAATTTCAGTCGTCATTTGCCGAGACGACTTGTTCACTAATTTCCGCCATTGTTTTTAGTGTTCCATTGATCCATTCTTGTAGCGTTGATTTTCGGCGGTACTTGCTTAATTCTTCTTCAGCCAGAACTGTTGTCTCAATATTTGGATTATGTTTACTGCTATCATTGCCATTCTACAACAACATTTTATGAGTCCACACAAAGCAACAAACTTATAAAGAAAGGACTGGTTAAGTTTGATGCAAGTTATAAAGATTAAAATAATATGCCACTGTATCAAAAATATCAAAAATACAATGATTATAGCGGAACGGACGCAGTGGTAAATTATGCAGAAAATAAATTAAATGAAGAATGGAAAATACTCAACGGAAAATGACGTAAAATAAGAAATAAAAAAGCAGGGTAAGAAAGGAAAAAATTTAAGATAAAAGATAATTAAAAATAATTGCTACTATAAAATTTGAACAGCATAAATTAACATGATTAACCGGTCGCCTTTTCAAAATATTTGAAGCTTTCGTATCTGTTTCCTGAATCTTCATGGCTTCATTGAAATATCTTCAAGAACTTTTTTGTGAATAGGGAAATTCATTAAAAAAGTGGTAATTAGATGAAAAATCTAATCTCTCCTATAAAATTCATTGTGCGATTGATCCTCATTTTGATTCTCATTGAATACCCTTTCCTAACTCTTTCGTCGGAGTAGGTAATATTAAATGGAGAATGAAAAAGTGCCATGGAGTCTGAATACAAATCAGCGGATCTTCTCGTTACAAGTATATATTTAAAGTTACAAGTATTTACCTTAATACCTTCAGTCTTAATTCCGTTAATTTCGACATGATTTTCTTCAAGCAAGTTAGTTGCAAAGAGTAATTAAATAGATTTGCATTATTATTGAAAGAATCTTTCAGATTTATCTAATGTTAAGGAAAGAAAGGTTAAAGGTTAAGTGCCAGAAAAAGCGTAATAGCCGAAAGTTTTACTAAGAAATGTAACGTTAGTCTAGCCGTTTTTCTTATTGGATATTAATTGTTTAATTGAACAGCTATCTTTAAAACAGATACTGACTTGGCTGATATATAAAAATATATCCAGATCAAGCACGATTTTATCGAATGAAATTAATTTATAAGTTACTGATTTTAATAAATAGATAAAATTAATTTCTTTATTGTTAATAATAATTTTCCGCGCTATTTCATACCTCACTCATCGTAAAAGATCGAAAATCTACAGCTCAGTTTAATACCACAACAAGATGAACACATAAGGAGCTATTTTCGTCTGTTGGATAAGTTTATTTATTAATGAGGAAATGACAAAGCTTCAACTAAATGAAAATATCGGGAAAAGCCATCCAAATTCCATAAAGTTTACCCAAAAAAGTACTTCATTATCATATTTCTGGCGAAAGAGCCTTGTCGAAATAGCCAATCGAGCTAGCAAAACCAGAAATGGTGTTGTTAAACAAAAAAAGAAGACCATAAAACGAAAATGTTGTCGAATAAAACATTGAAAATTTTTCTCTCTCAATCTTTTTTGCGAGCGTTTATTCAAATATCAAGATTTAATAATAAAACTTTTTTGCGAAATTCCATAAGATTTTACCTTTAATTTGAGCTGTCGGAGCTTAAAACCTACCGCTGAGGTGGGCTCATTTCAAGCAGTTTCTATTCTATTGTTTCTCAGAATCTTAATTCATCTAATCTCTGCTTTTTTTGAATTATGAACGATTTTTCTATAAATTAAATAAATTAAATTAAATTAATTTAAATGGGAAGTAAAGTTTTTGGATGAAAATCGATCATATAAACTAGATTTTTATCGAGTAGAAATATTAATATATACATATTTCGAAGAGCTTAATTGTCGCTGTTTATTCGAGAATCTCTACGGTGCAGTACTTTTCCTTATTCAATTTGAAATCTATTTCTCGAAAACAGATATTTGATCTCGAAAAATTAATTCCTCATCAGTTATTTCACTTTAACCTATTTTAATTAATTATAAATCACCATTTTTATTTTCTAGCAATTTTTTTTGCTAAATATCAAATCTATTCAAATGTCTGATCATTTGATTTTAAATTATTTAACATTTTGTATAACAAACTCTACTTTGAATCTCATTTTCCAGCAATTTTTCTGAATATCTACTCCAGTTTTCTCCAGTTAGTTTAGAGTATACGAATTTGTATAGGTAAAATAGGTGTCAATGAGGGTTTTACATATAGAATAATAACTACACTTAGTGTAATCCATAGTGCTTATTTTAGATTTAGATTTTAGATTTTAATAAAATAGAAAAAAATTAACGTGCAAGTTGAGTTATTTTCGTTCTCGTTTTCAAAAAATGTAGAAACAATTGATTAACTAATTTGGAAAATAATTGAATTGTAGCAAAATTGAAAAGTGAAATAAAATCCATGCAGAAAAATACATGCTTCTTCCAATTCTTCTAAAAAGTATCGAGCGAAAATGCATTCTGGACTAAGATTTATAAAATTAATGATTTAATTTTTAAGATTTATAAAAGATTAAAAAGATCTCAAAGATGTGCGCTGCTAAACGATAAAAATTGTATATGCAATTGTATATGCATAAAGTTTATTAAACAAATAAGAAACTAATACAAGTAAGGATAGAAAACTCGAAATGAAGAAAATGGATCAGTACGTGCTTAATACAAATACTTGTGCCAAATCCATGCGACCATCTTCCGAGGCTTCATAAGCTTAAATAACAAGTTCACCAGGTTCAATGAATTCCAACTTTCTCATTTCTCGTTTTTCAAACATTTTTTCTTCCCTACTACTTAATAAGAATAATTCTAATTTCTCTTAGGTATGCACTAAATCCACTTTGAAAAACGATTTTTTTAGCAATAAAAGTGGTAGTGACACCAGCTCCAGTAATGGATATTAATGGACCTAAGTGGACCTTATTTTCATGGTTTTTTCGTATTCTCTCACATTATGAAGTCAAATTTCTCATGTGGCATAAATAGTATTAATGCCAAATAATTAAAATTAATTTTCGTCATGCACCACCTTCTCAATTTTTCGAATTCGTTCTTTTTTGATAAATTTTTCAATTTTTCTGGCTGACCAACGATCCTTATATCTGAAATTCATGATTTTTCAATTCTAAAAATACCATTTAAATAGTTTTTAAAAAATGCGAAATGTACCAAGTATAAATATAAATATATAGTTTTACGAATTTTATCGATGTATGAAATAAATTATAAAATACAAACCTGGGATTAAGCGTTTTCTTGAAAAGTTTTATAGCATTTTCATTGAAAGATTCCCATCGTTTAGGAAGCTGTGGTAACTTATGCTTCATCCACTGTTCCCATTCCCAATATGGTTTGCACATTATTGTTGCTCTCTGCCAAGGAAAGCGTCCTTTTAGGCAGTAATAAAACAATATACCTGAATTGCTGATTAAGAAATAGCTTTTTATTTCTTAATCGATGATATTTCTTTTATGAAAAGACGAAAGAATTTTGAAACATAAGCATTTGTAGCATTAAATAGTCATAATTACACGACTATTACTGTATAAAATCTATTATTATTGCTACTGCATTGGTGCCAATCCTATGATTTTTGAAACATCTGCTCACACCATGTTCTTTGCCAACTGCAGGCTTTGACTCGTATCACTACGTCTTTGTAGTACAGATTTGGAAGCGTCTTATCTAATCTTCCACCAATGAAGAAAAAGAATTTTAAAATGAGAGAACTTACCACCGTTTTTTATGCTAATTTTTTAAACCGCGTATTGCATTCCATCTATAATGGCCAAAAAAGTACGATCATTTCAATAAAAAGACCACTCACCGAGAGCCCATACATCAATTGATTCATCTACAGTAAATGCTTCATTCACAACAGTTTCACATAGTTCAGGTGCTTGATAATTATTTACATATTCTAAATATTTTACTGTGGTGTGTACTTTCCGTGTCAATCCAAAATCAGCAATTTTGACCTGTAGGTTATTTAGCTATAATTCAAATTCATCTTAACATTATAGTTTTTTCTTTGAAAAATAAAATAATGTGGTTATGTTAAAAGAGAAAAAATTTCTTATGGGAAAAAAAAAATTTATCCCATCAATACAGAAAAAATACAAAAACATAAGAATATGAATAATCTACTCGATTAAGATCTTTTTCATCGAATATCAAAATGTTTTCAGCTTTTAGATTTCGATGAACGAAGTTCTCACTATGCATGAATTCAACTGCTGATAATACTTTTGTCATAATCGTTTTTGTGGCACATTCACTAAGGCCTGAAATCATAACTGCAGTCAGCATTTTACTTCTAAATGGGATACATTCGTATAAGAAAGATATAAATTATCTATAAATTATAAATTATAAATATATAAATTATCAACCGTAATGATTATCCGATTAAAATTAAGAAATGAAAAATCAAATAAATTCGATTCGAATTGATTCGCTTTTTTTCATTCATTAAAAATTTCTAATTTCCGAGATTCTAATATTTTGATAATTTTATGATGTAGCAGTCATACAGATTTATTAAAGAACAATTTGTGGATAGCATTCATTTAAGAACTGGAGACTCATAGAGATTTGAGGAAAAATGAAATAGATTTCAACAATGAAAAGTTGGCAGCTAAAATTTGACTACTAAAAAATTGAAAAGGACTGACAGAACATTCATTAAAGAAAGTAATTCGAAGAATTGTTATTATGAAAAATTAAGCTTAATTTAATTCTAACACCGGTGCGACAAAAAAATTTAGCCCTAACAAATCAAAAGAGTAAATAAATCATGAATCATATGGATTATTATAATCTCTTAAGTAGTTAAAAGCGGAATTCGAATGGTCCGACTTGCATTTCAATTTTCAAATGAGTGGCACAAAGGCTTAACTTAGTAGCCAGTGCACCCAGTCAAACAAGAGATAGTGCTTACTTCTAAAAGGAACAGATTTACTCAGCCACTGATCACAATTTCGATTTGCGAATTCTCTACGTATTCTTTGAAAATTGTCATGATTAAAAAAGAAATTCACTCACCAGATTGCGATAATTCAATTAATTTGCGCAGTGATGTGTATGGGCAAATTTCTTGTACGAAAAAGAATGCACTTTCATCTTTCGTCTGACACATTCCTTCATACGTATCAATGATATTCGGATGTGGCGAAAGAAAGAACGAGTAATTATATTCTCGCACAAAATCTGCCTGGAAATCCAAAAAAGTTCAAAATTGATTGGAACAAATCCAACTTTTTCCAGTTAAATTGTTGCGCAGTGAAATTCTTCAACACAAATGCACAATTTATTGCCGAAATATCTATAGCTAGAAAAATTCGAAATGTTGGTGGAAGTGTTTTTTTTTGGATTTTACTCCAAGGCCCTTATGGATTCACCGGTGCGACAAAAAAATCCTTAGCAAAGCAAATTTCGATATATCATATATCACTGCGAATTTTGATTTTCTTTTATCCCTGAAATGTTCATTTACTTGAAAACTTTTTTCACTATCTTTGTTTTTTCTCACCTAGTTCGAAAAAAGAGAAGGATTAAAAAAATATGAAATTTCCGTTTGGTCCACCCATGGGTTTTTTTACGATTTCATATTGCTCTTTCCAAGCGTTGCAAATGATGAACAGCTTTTGTTTTATTATTCATATTTTGAAAAAGTTTCAAAAATCAATGAACATTAATTCATCTGACAAAAATTTACAATAAAAAAATATTTTAATCATCAAAAAAACATTTTTCAAAATAAATTTTTCTCGATTTTCTTAAATATTATCAGTGATATTATTTATATATAAATATATTCAAATATATACATACTCATAATTTATAATTTGCTGAAAAACGGCCAACCGTTTATGAAATCCATATTAAGGCAATATTGTGAAATATTTCATCTAACAAAAATGAGGAAAAATGAAGAAAAAAAGATAAAAAAAAAGATAACCTGCTTCGTTTGTTGCTTAGGAAAAAATTTGATTGCGATTTTTTTTTTTGATTCTATGTGTTCAGCCAATTTTATAAAACCGAATCTTCCTGTACCAAGCTGAAACAAAGGAGTAAATATAACAATTTATAATATAAATCAATCATTTTGACCATTCCTTTTGCATCAATATGAATAATGGAAAATTTCACATAAATCCAAAAAAAAGTATTTCGAAATGTTAGGAATAATCCTTAAACGTTATCATTAACTGTCAATATTTATGAGAGCTATAATACAATCGAGCCAAATTCGATTCAGTTGGAATTTTAATTCGATCTTCGATATTTGATGGATATCAGGCAATTTATTTTTTTGTGCAATCGAAAATTTCATTTGAAGTGGAATTCATTTATAAGAGATTTTTCACTAAAATCAATTTTTTTAGGCGGAAATTGAAGCAATTTTTCGGGTTGAAACTGTTTTCAACAATTCTCCATGGAATATATGCATTAACTCTTTTTCTTTATTGAACAATTTTGGGATAAGAACGAACTTGCTCATAAACTGTGTACGTGCTATCCAGATCCACCCACTTAATTGGTTCCAGCAGAACCGACCCTCGTCGAATAAATTCTGAATCAAGGCGTTTTGGCTAAATTTCATAAAATTTCAGATTCTTATGAGGTATATTTTATTTAAATGCAAAAATATATGGAAATTGGAGGCTAAATAACCCAAGTGATCACTGGAACGCTTAGAACCCTAAACTAGTGAAGAGTGACTTCAATAGATTTGAGGAGCAACATCAGAGGTCTCTCCAGAAGAGCACACTGCTAGAAACAGTTATGTTGCAGAACCTTCAATTTCTTAGGCCTTTGCTAAAGAACTCGATGTTAATGATGATTTCTTCATAAAATTGTCAAATCGATAAAATTTTAAGGATATAAATACAAAAGAAATCATTTTAAATTCAAGTGTTTAGTTGTTTGGTGGTTAAGTTAATTTTGAATAATTCGGTTATCTAGTTTCCTTAATTTTTTTTTTTTTTTTTAATAGAATTATGCAAAATGCAACATATTTCGCCCATACAACATATTTATATTTAGTTTTACATAAGGGATTGACAGTTTAACTTATATAAACAAATAGAATTCTTACTCGTTGTACAACGCCTTGTAAGACATTAGATGTGGTCGCAATGTCCGCAGCTTCCTCATCAAATGTTATCTTCGAACTTTCGTCCGCTTCATTCTAAATTTTAATGTCTGTAGTATGAAATAAGGAATGTTTGAAATATGAGCATTTCAAAAAGGTTAATGTAATAATTAATATTTCTCCTAAAAAGTAAATGTAAAAAGAATCAATGTATGGTCGACTTATACAAATAATCTTGCAATCAGTAAAATTTTAATGAATTTAAGCTCGCAAGAATATTAGTAAGATATATTATTTTCAAAAAAATCTAAGGAATGGCAGTAGAAAGAGAACTTTTCTAACAAAGATTATTGGGTGAACAATACAAAAAGTAAAGAGGTGATAATTGATAATCGGATATGATTTTGGTATTTGATGTTATTAATTAATTAATTAATATGTTATTAATTTTTGTACATTAGTTTTGGTGCAAAAAATTCATGTACAACAAGTAAATTAATTAATTTTAATTAAGATTAATTAATTAATTAATTAAAATTAATTAAGTCGACAATACATTCATTCTTTTTCCATTTACTTTTTTAGGATAAATATTACTTAAATAAAAAGTATTTAAAAAAAAAATTTGATACGATTGTAAGATGTTCAAAAATGATGTTTTAAAAATCCAAGCCTTTAAAAAAAAGCGATTTTGTGGTTAAATAAATCACTTTTTTAAAAGAAAATTATTACTACAAACAACAAATTTAATTATTATCCATTAATTTAATTATCCATTTATTCAAATATCAATTTGAATATGGGCTATTTTCCATTGAAATTTACATAAATTTATTATTATTTTTTATATTGAAATTCATTATTTTTGAACACTGAAATAATGGGAAAAAGTAGAAAGGAGTAGAGAATTCACAGTTTTTCATAATGTCTCCTTGACGATGTATTCATAAATATTTGAAAAAAAAAGGCGATTTCAAGACTACTCACAACGGTTGGATGATTATCAGCATTAATAACCGGTAGCTCCAACTTTTCTAAACCTTCATGAAATGTTGGAGTAAAAGTTTCTGAATCCCGTATCTCATTTGGTTTTACTTGTGGTGTTCCTGTTGGTAATAATGTTGAAAGAGTTTGGTTATATTTAGGTGAATTTGGTCGATTTACAGTAAAATTTTCCTGTCTGATAGAATAATCATTTGAAAATGATTGGCTGCTATCTCGAATTATTTCAGAGATCTTTTTCTGGCTTGGAGTGCTAAACGTACTTCCACGACGTCTACTAAGACCGGTGTTATGAGCAAAAAGTTCAAAGACTTTCCTTGTGTCAGGTGGTATTTCATCCGGATCTTCTTCATTATCTTCGGTTGCAGCAGTTTGTTGTGTGGATTGTCGCCGATTATTTATTTTATTCCAAACAAATCCAAGTTTGTTCATTTTCCAAAGAAATATTTTAATCTTTTTATAAATAATGTAGATTATAGATATTTTAGGAATCAAGCAACCATTATGAACTAATCGTCCTAAAATTTCCAATTTCGAGTGCAATTCTGAAATGTGATTAAAAGCAAAACTGTCGTAGAATTAAATTAAACGAAATTCATCCGAACAGCAAAAGTTAGATAACAAATTTAAATAGATGAGAACAACTGGATGAGTTTCTTCATAAGAATATGTAAAAAAAACTACATTTATTACTTACAATTTGTCAAGGGAAGGAAATTTCTATCATCTATGCAAAAATCCAAATATTTTTTCTCTTTTTCAGTCATAAAATCTAAAGAGCAATGTTACTATAAAAATTACCATCAGCGACTAGAATATAAGCACTTTATACAAAAAAATCTATTTCACAAATATTGGAAAATCATTCCGATTGGTCAGCATCAATTGACAATGGAAAAACAGCATCAGTTGTGTATCTAGATTTGGCTATATGTAGTTTTAACTGTATAACTATGTTTCAGATTACACAAAAAATCATCACCAAGCTATACTCGTCAATAACTCTTTCTGACAAAAAACCTGTTAAATCTGGTGTTCCCCAAGGTGGTTATATTGCGCCATTGCTTTTTCTATATATAAATGATCAATGTGGTACTAAATCCTACTATTTATCTTTATGCTGATGATTGTAAAATTTATTATTCTCATGGTAGATCAAATAGCCTATCTCCATTGCAGGAGGATCGAATAAAAAGATTAGGGAAATCGAATCCTTAACAGAATAGCTGACTGGCTATATGACAAATTACCCTTTCTTTTCAGTTCAGTATAGCGTTCTTCATATCAATTCTAAAGGATTCGATTTCCCTAATCTTTTTATTAATGATAATATAATCAGTAGAGTCACAAATTTCCGATCTTGGAATAATCATGGATGAAAACTTCGATTTCGACTCTCACTGCAGAACCATGGTAAGAAATCCTCAAAAATACTAAATTTTATTTTTCGTTCGATTAAGAATAAAACTGAATGTTTTATTATCAAAATGTACAAAGCGTTCGTTCAGCCTCTTCTTGAATATAGTACTATATGTTACTCTCCGAAATATTGTAAAATCAAGTAAAATAATTGAAGGACTCCAAAAATATTTTATACGACGCCTCTCTCCTAATTCCAATTTTAATTATAGAAGAAAATTTCTGCAATATAACCTGGATTCTCTGTCGGTTCGTATATAGATTTAATTTATACTTATAACATTCTGTATGGTTAAATAGATTATTCAAAAATTATAATTTTAGGTTAAATTTGAATCCAACAAGAACTAATGGGCTAAAAATACTAAAACCTATGTGTAAAACTGAACTAAGGACTCATGATTTCTTTATAGCTTGTGCGTTCCTTAGCTATTTTTTAAAAAAGATTAGATGATATATTATTTATGATATTATTTAAAAGTTCACATCATTCAGGAAGTATGAAATCTCGATTTTTACAATCCGATTATATATAATACAATTACTTCAAACTGTACTATATTATGTTATTCTGTAATTTCCTCTTGATTTCCTCTTTAATTTTTGTCATATTTTTTTCTCTTTCATTAATTTTTATTATTTGTTATTTTAACTGCTGTTATTAATATAAGCACATAGCGTTGTCGTCCTGCTTTGCTGGTTTTCAAGAAATAAATAAATAAATTTTTGGAAAGAATACAATTAAAAAATTGAAAAAAATAAAGGAATAAGATATGGAATTATGGACGAGTGGACAAGCAATGTGGCCCTTCTTGTAGCAAGCACAATAATCTTTTTTTAAACGTTAAACCTCATGATATTCGAGTGAATCAAATAAAAATGTAGTGTTTTAGGGAAATACCGACTGAGTCTGCAGAATTCTCGAATTGTTACGGAAAAACTTTCATAACAACAAAACATCAATTGTCATAAACCATTACACTACTCGCTGCCAGTAAAAAATGTTCAATAATGAACATTGAATCCTTTAATTCTCGACCAGAATTTCAGCAAAAACGATTTAAGTTATCATTCGATCTTCATTTGTCATAAGATAGAATCCTTTTTATCCTGGCAATACCGACCATTTCTGGTTTTGCTGCCCTCACTGGATATTAGGATGACATAAAGCACTTAAAGAAAGAAATAGAGACGGATTGCCACCACTTCGATTCAAATAAAATCCAGTGAAAAACATTATTAAACTGTTATATTATAATGCAAGAAATATTTATTAGTCAATCTCAAAGGATGGCTTTTTTTTTAATCATAAAATCACAGATAAAAAGCGTTATAATTGCTGAAAATTTTAATGCTTTTATTCCTATACAAACGATTTTTTAATATATACTATTTATTTGGTTAAAGTAATTGTAGTTATTACATTATTCATAATCTCACCGTCAAGAATCAATAAATCTAGTTTAAAAAAATTATATCAAAAATTAAATTACATCAAAATCAAAATTATATCAAAAAAAATTATATAAAAATTATTAAATTATATCTAGTTTTAAAAAAAGCATTACGAGGAGTGTTAAAAAAGGTAAAAAATGAAAATTTCTCTGAAGGTTCAAGATTCATTAAAGCATTTTTCGTAATTGTCGACCAACTTTTTCAATTTGCAAAATATTCGGCGGGTCAGCATATTCATTGTTAATGAATTTTTCTCCAAGAATTCGAAAAAAATAGTGCCTATCTAAAGAAGCGCAAGGATAATCGAGTGGTGTGTTTGCTTGTTAATCGGGTATAGAATTTTGATCTCCTGATCCTGATAGAAGTAAGTTTGCCTTAGAAAAATCAGGACAGTAAGAGAGAATCATCGATATTTCTATCGTCAAGTGCCTGCAGCAGAAAAATTTTTAATTGTGCTAGTAGTCAGAGGAACTGCTCAGAAATTTATCCGGAAATGATGAGCGATGTCCACTTATCACACAAAAAAAGAGAATGAAAAAATAGGAAATTACTACTCAAAAAATAAAATAATTGATATGTTTAAGAACACCTATAATTTGAGATATAATATTATTTATTTAT